TATATATATAAAGGTAGTTTTAATGAAGTACATATGCTGAATTTTATGTTAACAATTTATACTATTGAATTTTGTCAAATGTGTAATATCCTATTTAAATGGCTCTTAAATTGGGCCATGACTTTAAAAGCAATATGTGTACACAATGAGGGATACATGTACACATTAAAACAACTTTTAACAACGCTTTTATATTCTTACAGTCAATGACATCTTAAAATCCACAGACTACTGTAATATATTTCATGTGATTAAACCACACCTCCACTTAATATTTAGAATGTTTATGTCTTTTAAAGAGATTCTTACATATTTTTCTCTCTTGTTATCAGGGATAAGCTAATGCTATTTTTTTCCCTATACATTTTATATGTTTTACTCTGATTTTGGGGGGTTAGTATTATAAATTGGTTATCACAGGCTTTTGCTGGCTTCTGTCTTTTTGTTTGTTTGTTTATATGCTTAGCATTACTTCTTTGTTCTGACTTCTGTCTTATATGACTTCTCCCTTGGCTTCCTGCAAATTGCTAATGTTGCTTCTCGTGCTCTGCTTCTTCTCAGTTTTCTACGTCATAAGGCTTCTAACTCAGACAAAAAGTCCCACTGTGCCTGTGGGTCTGGATGGTAGTTCATGTCAGACTCCCAAACATAGCTCTGTGCCTTGTCTGCAAGTGCTAAAAATTATTTCATTAAAAAAAAAATCTGTTTTTCTTCTTCAGTTAAAACTGTTCATGTAAAATGCTCTTTGCACCATGAAGCATTATATATTAAGTCAATCTTTAGAACTTTCTGCTTGTTGGTAGGAAACTTATAAGCATAGGCATTTCAATGGCAATTAAGTACATAAAAGGACTTTTATATCGTAGATGAATAAGACTTGTTCATGTCGGTCTCTAGGTTGTCTGGAGGTGTTTGGGTTTAACAGTTCTATGCCGGGGTGTTACACTCTCAGCTATTACTGTACAGAATTATAGATGAATACATGGAGGTGTAGGAAGTTGAGTGAAGTGTTCAGATCACTGAGAACTGGTAAAATTTTGAAATTAGGCATAATATAGTCAATCCTGAAAAAAGCAGGACCTGTGTAAGGTAGAAATTAGAGAAGAAAACGTCTAATATTCCCCACTAAAAGGAATGATAGGAAGCAACAGGACTGTCCCTGTCAAGGGCAGAACATCTGCACGACTTAGAGAAACTGCAGTCCCGTCCAGTTCCAGTCCCCGGTTCCGCAGCCCTTCCTCATGAGGCTTCTAATAGGACAGGACACTGCTGTTTATGGAATGAATTCACACAGCACATCTTGTCTTTTTTCACGAGTGAAAAGCAAACATGTAAGCCCTGAAATAAATAAATAATTCGTAATTTCTTACACAGGCAGTTTCCTGCTTAGGTTGGGCTTTGCTCCTACACATGTCATAAGTTGGTTCTGATTTGAGCCAAATACCTAATTTCAGATGAGCAGTCAAGGCCATTTTATAACCATATAAAATGCTGAATCAGATCACAGGATAGGCCTGGTGTACAATATGGTCAGTGTCAATGTCATAACAATAAAGTCAGAGTTAGAACATCAGGTGCATGTTGTTAAAAGTTGAACATTGTCCTACTTTTTTTCCTGAATCATTTTATTGGGGGCTCATACAGCTCTTATCACAATCCACCCATCCATCCATTGTGTCAAGGACAGTTGTACATATGTTGGCATTATCATTTTCAAAACATTTTCTTTCTACTTGAGCCCTTGGTATCAGCTCCTCATTCCACCACCCCCTCATGAATCCTTGATAATTTATAAATTATTATTATTATTTCATGTCTTACACTGACCGATGTCTCCCTTCACCCACTTTTCTGTTGTCCATCCTCCTGGGATTGACATATGTCAATCATAGTGATTAGTTTCCCCTTTCTGCCCCCACCTTCCCTTTCCCCTCTTGGTATCGCTACTTTCATTATTGGCCCCGAGGGGTTTATCTGCCCTGTATTCCCTGTCTTGCGAGCTCTTATTTGTACCATTGTAC